ATCCACAAGGAGGAAACGAATTCACAGTACCTAAGTCAAATCATTTGAAAATAATAAAATCTAGAATTTTTAGTAACATAAATTGATATATATTTGCACACAAACAAATATGAACACTGATACATGCATATCATCTCAGTTTCTCGTTGGTGAACGTGAGTATGCATATATATATATATATATATAAATCATCACCTCAGTTTCTCGTTACTGAACGTGAGTAATCAACAAAGTCAACCGCTTCAGATTTCAGAGATGCCTCAGAAGATCAGCTTCAGGTCTTGTAGATCTAAATCTTTTGATTGGAGATCAAGTCCATCATCTCATTCGAATCAATCTCGCGTAAATCTGAATCATGGATAAGATTTCAGCAACTACAAAGGACAGAGTATGTCTAATCATGGTGGATTTGGCAATGTTGTTTAGGTCACTGGAGTCAAATCTAAACCAAGATGGAAATGCATAGGGAGTAAACATGCATTGTAGTTTGTGAATTATTGGGTGAATGATACAAGTAAAAACAACACAATGAGAAATATAAAACAAGTGTGGAGACTGGAAAGTACTTAAGCAGAAGGAAAAAATGCAATCACCTTGCATTAAAGAGGCCTCAAAAGCCTAGATTCATGGTCGCTGTCAAGCTCATTTTCTCAGCTAGCCTGAGTTGCAAAATCACCCTCCCAAGTCCACAACTAGTATTGCCGCGACTTGGTTGCTGCCACAGCTGATGTTATTGAGATCTTTAACCAATAATCTGATAACAGTCTAATCCAAATTAAATTATCTTATGAACAATCCAAGAGGGGCTTATGGCATCACCAATAGAAATTGAGCACGAGACTTAAAATTTATGGTTAGAAATTGAGCTATTATAATGATTTAAAGTTTAGATGGTACAGAGGGATCTCATTTCTCCCTATCATATGGTATTTTATTTTATTTTATAGTTAGTATATAAAAATAAAACAAAAGATTACAGCCAACAAAAATTGAAAACAGAACAAAAAATATTTACCTTTTTTGTCACAAAATACAAGGCCAACAGAGGAGCTTTATCTAGATAGTTCAACCCATGCTTCCTCCTGTCCACTATCTAGATTTGACAAAACAATATATCTCCATGATATAAAAAATATTGGACAAGGAACTCACAAATCACAAATGCATCAAAATAAAAAATAATTTACTATTTTTGGAAAAGGAAAGAACAAACAGTCATCATGCAATACAAAATCAACGTTCCACCCTTACTCTTCTTAACTGCAACCTCTTCAAGAGTTCACTGATTGCTGAGATATTGTCATTGCCCTCCTCAAGTTCTCACCCACTGAGGCTTAAAAACAAGGAAGAGAAAAGAACAGAAAATTTTCAGCATATTTGAAACAATGAAAAAGCAATTTTGACACACATTACATGTGCCAGTGCTATAACAAGATAGCAGTAAAGAATAAAAATAAGAAACAACAGGAAAAGAGAATCTAGAAAGAAAAGGAAAGAAGAGCAGAGACAGGCAGCTGTAATATCTCGAAGTTTGAAAATTATCAATACAAAAGACAAGAGATTTGAAAATTATTTATTCTTTAAAAAGTTTGTAGATTATCAGCACAGAAAAGTTAGAAAATTCCATCTCCAGATAAGAGGAGGTTCCATTTGTTCAACAAATAATAGATGCAAATCAGCCTTAAACTTTATTAACTTATTAACTTGTGCCTCTGAAATGCATTAAGCCACTGCTAACATATCAAATCGCAAAGGGACTGAAATATAATCAAAACAACATTTAAACAATAGAGATATTTAAACATCTAACTGAAGCTCCTTGGCTTCTTAAATACAGTTAACATGATTCTAAAGACATAATTTGAAGAAATTCACTTTTAAAACAGATATGGCACATCACAACAAGTAAACCAGACATTCATTATCTTCGAATCAAAAAGAAGGTTGATATGTGCACCTATGACCAAAACATAACACCGGCTAAAAATGCAAGGGTGTGTGCACTATTTCATTCTCTGCATTGAGACCTGTGTACACAAGGAAGTCTCTTGATCTCTGGAGTAAAGAAGAAAAATTAGATACAGAGAATAGTGTTCCAGCACAACCAATCCATAATCTAACAACATACCACTCACCTTCCATTATTTGTTGCAACACTAATCATTCTCTGCGTTGACAATCAATAATGAAATAGTACCACAAACACCATAAGATACACACCATGGGAAGGTTGAACCAATAAATTAATGTTTCACCTACATTTTTTCCTTCACCATAACAAAAGTTATTCAACAATGGACTTGAAACTGCAAGATTTTAAATGCTTAATTAAATGATGCTACTGTCACAAGGGGAGAAATTATGCTGAAGTTAGGCACAACTAAAAGAAAAATAGGCATCCATGAAGTAACTAGTTAGTCTCTATCAATTCATCCTGATTGAGTTCACTAATTCTACACAGCAGACAAACCCAAATGATCTTACTTTTCTTGTAGTGACTCCTTGTAACTTGAAGTTGTTGCAGCTATTGATCACAATGTGGAACATCTGACTATTCAGCGATGTTAACCTGCTGACCACGACATTGTTTGAATTGCTGAATTCTAGGGTCTGTAGTTTAATGTTTCAATTAATTACTTCAATCAATCATCTAAGAATAAAAAAAGCAACTAAATTAGGGAATATATTGTTACTGGTCCCAACAAAATATAACTATTGATATTAGAGAAGCACTAAAATCAAGCTTGTCTTATTCTATGTTTCACAAACTCTTCAAAATAAATCAAATACCCATATTGGACACCCGACACTTGGACATGGGTATGGAATATGTGTAGGATACTTTTCAACGGATACTTCTTATATAATTGTATATAACACTACTATTATATGTACATATTGTTGTATAATTATTATAAATGTCATTTTGCCACTGTAAGTTACATATAGTACCATTTTATCTCACATACTAGAAAATATAAAAATATGACATTTTTTTGCCAAGTCCGCATACCCTTAAATTTATGATTTTATGAGTCCGACCTCTAGATACATACCCGCACCCGACACCTGTACTCGAGTCCGTGTAACATAGGTCTTATTTAATTCTAAAATAAGACTAAAATATCAAATATTACCGTGAACATTCATTTTTATTTCTTTATCTCTTATATATATATATATATGTGTGTATATATCTATATAAACCCTATCACTTATAAATCATTATACATAATATACAATACCATCTTTCATTTTTATTAGTATTGTCATTTTTATAGTTGTAAAATTAACCTGCCTACTGCTCCTCCTCCTCTGCCACCTCCCTGATTTGCCCTGCCCCCAATATGATTTGAGGTGGGGATGCGGCACTACAAACCAGTCCCCGCTGTCATCCCTAGCTGTGATTTATAAACATATGATGAAATGCAATATATACTCTACCTTGGTAATAATAGGATCAAGATTGCCAAGTATACTCTGAGATGTAGCCATCGCTAGCCTTGTGGATATAACTGAGATGTAACAAAGAGTTAAAACAATGTTGGTTGGGAGGACATGAGGAGCAATATTCTCTTTTGATATTAAATCTCTGTTTCAGTGGAAAAAAAAAAAGATGAAGAAGAATAAAAATTGGAAACTAATTTCTTATACTTTCTCCCCTACTAAAAAATGAAATTAAAAATTGCTAAAAAATTAATAAAACAACATATATATATATATATATATATATAGAGGGAGAGAGAGGGGGGGACATATACCCTCCAGCTATATGGCTGTAGGAATGGCAAAGCTGTGGAGAAAGAAGAATGCAGTGGCGCTATAATAACCAAGAAGGTGCGTAGGGTAGCCATTGAAGGTGCAATTATGTTTAGAATTCAATTGCATATCTAATATCACTATAAAGGCTAGGGATACTCTTTGAGATTGTGTTTGGATTATAAATTTAATTTATTTTTTTTTAAACGCAATGATAATACGAATAGAACATAAATTAATTGTTTTTCTTTATTTTGCTTTACCTTTCTAAATGTCGTTAATTAAATGAAGAAGAATCGAAGAAGAATCACTGAACTGAAGAAGAATCGAGAGAGACTTGAATGAGAGAGAGAGAGCAACTAACCTCTAATCGAAGAAGACGAAGAGTTCCAAATCCACGGAGATAAATCACGGAGCTATGCTCAAAATCAAACTTCGAAATCGCAATCCAAGATGAATCACCGAACTGAAGAAGAATCGAGAGAGATTTGAGTGAGAGAGAGAGAGAGAGAGAGAGAGAGAGAGCAAGGAGTGAGTGAGAGATTTGAGTGAGCGAGAAGGAAACAGTAGTGCTCAAAATAGGGTTTTCAAAATAAAAGTTTAGAGAGATAGAAGAGGGTGTGAAGAGAGATAGGGTTTAGAGGCGTTTTTTAAACGTCTTCTATTTACAAAATGGTACCATTTTACCTAACAACAAAGGCGACGTTTAAAAAACGCCGTTAATTATAATAAAAAAAAAGTGAGGTTTAATAAAATATCGTTCATTAAACACCGTTAAATCCTCATTTTCCTGCAGTGATTCTTTAAAATTACAAGCTAACCAATTTTCATTTTTATTAATTGTCATTCCATTAAAACTCGTCCTTTTTGTATTGGGCGTATCATGTGAGGTGAAAATAAGACCAGCATTATAACAATTATCGGTATTCTAATTAATGGACTTTTAATGGTCCAGGCAACTATATATGTGGCTCTGATAGAGTCATTAAAGAATGGTGGCCAAAGACCAATAATGCTATGGATGTAGAAGTCTTTGCTGAAAGGTACAGGTTGACTTCAAAGTCTTTTCCTTTTCCTAAAAAAACACTCTGATCTTTCTTTTTTTATTTATTCATTTCCATCTACCCAAATCGAGCTTGATCTATCAATCAATGGTTTGTGCTCTACCTCATCATCCACTCTTCCACTTCTTGTTGCTCTTCCTCCTGCCATTTTCTATTGTTGCTCGGACTAATGGTACTATGGCTGTGGACACATCTATCACTGCAAATAACAAGGACACCCCATGGCTGTCACCCTCTGGTGTTTTTTCATTTGGGTTTAAACCACTTGATGAAAAGAATCTCTTCTTGCTTTCCATATGGTATTACAAAATACCAGACCAAACCATTGTCTGATATGGGCACGATGGTGTCCTTGTCTCAATTGGATCCAAACTAGGCCTAACTGTTGTTAGAGGGCTAGTGCTCAGTGACCCTCAAGGCAAAGAATTATGGAACTCTCAACTTATTCTCAACAATAATGTTGCTCATGGTTTTATGAATGATATTGGCAACTTTGTACTTGTGCACAGCGATTCTGTTAATCTATGGAAGAGTTTCAAAAATCCAACTGATACCATGTTGCCTACACAGATTATGGAGTCCGGTGGGGTAATATTTTCTTGCCTTTCGGAGACCAATTTCTCGCAGGGAAGGTTTCAACTCCGTATGCTCCAGGATGGAAATCTTGTCCTTAATACCAGAGACATCCCTTCCAATTTTTCTTATGATGCTTACTATACCAGCGGCATGTCTGATTCCTCCAATTCGTCCAATTCTGGTTACCGAGTGATCTTCGATGACAAATGAGTCATGTATATATTAAGAAGGAATAACGAAATATTCTATATCAAACCACAAGGTATGTTGTTCCCAGCTACTGAATATTTTCACAAAGCAACTCTAGATTTTGATGGAGTTTTCACCTAATATTATCATCCGAAGACTTTCAATAGTAGTACAAAGTGGACTCCTATTTGGTCACAACCCGATAATATATGTGTTGATATTGGTGGAGGTGAAGGCAGTGGGGCTTGTGGGTTTAACAGCATTTGCAGACTCAATGATAACCAAAGGCCAGATTGTAAATGCCCACCAGGGTATTCCTTACTTGATCTGAACAATACATATGGCAGCTACAAGCCAAATTTCACACAAAGCTGTTTAGAAGATGACATCAATTCTGTGGAAGATATCTACGATTTTGAGACACTAATCAATACTGATTGGCCAGCATCTGACTATGAACAATTCGTGCCTGCGACTGAAGCGCAATGCAAAAGGTCTTGCATCAATGACTGTTGTTGTGCTATTGCCATTTTGGGAGAGGGTAGTTGCTGGAAGAAGCTGCCACTTTCAAATGGGAGAGAGGACAATGTTGTTAATTGTCATGCTTTCTTGAAGTTTAGGAAAAGCGATCCTCGAACTCTTCCTTCTCCTCTGGTTCCAGAAACAAAGAAGAACCAGGGGACCTTAATTCTCGTTGGATTGGTTCTATTGGGTAGCTCTATGTTCATCAATTTTGTATTGATTGGTGCTGTTTGCTTGGGCTTTTTCCTCATCCACCACAGGAAGAGCATAAAAAATCATCATGGGGATCACAGTGCTGTGGAGACTAATCTTCGTTGTTTTGCTTACAAAGAGCTTGTAGAAACTACAAATGGTTTCAAGGAAGAACTGGGAAGTAGAGCTTTTGGTATTGTTTACAAGGGGGCAATACAAATGTGTTCCAGAGTTGTTGTTGCAGTGAAGAAACTAGATAGGGAGGTTCAAGAGAAACAGAAGGAATTCAAAACTGAAGTAAATGTAATTGGGTAGACACATCACAAGAATCTGGTCCGACTGTTCGGATTTTGTGAGGAAGGACAACATCGGATGTTAGTGTACAAGTTCATGAGCAATGGGACTTTAGCAAGCTTTCTCTTTGGGGAAAAGAAGCCAAGTTGGAACCAAAGGACCCAAATTGCATTGGGGATTGCTAGAGGACTTGTGTACCTACATGAAGAATGTAGTACCTAGATCATCCATTGTGATATAAAGCCTCAGAACATACTTTTGCATGATTATTACTGTCACACTCCAAACCCGAGTATGATCATCCATGGCCCACAGGGCCTTAGCCCAAGGCACACGTAAGCCTAAATATGAAACCATACACATTGAATAACTATAAAATAGTCCATTAATAAATAACCAAAACTCAATCCAGTGTCATGCCACAAGTATAAACGGCAAAATCAACTGTAATCAATACCATCCAAACTTATGGGATAAAAACAACCCACATATCAAAATAATCCTAAATGAACCTCAATAAAAATAAATATAAATATGCACGAACTTGACATAACAGTCTAAAACAAAATAAATGAATGTCCTAGAGGTCCAGGCAATTGAGTCCTCGCTACGCCATGAGTCCGCTCTAGGTCCTTCTAACACCTGGAAATGGTAAACAACTAAGACAACTGATAGCTCAGTGAGTAGCAACATGGATAGTAAATACAGTTTTGAAAACAAGGTTCGATTCCAAAATACGATATATATCACAAAAACTAAATTGGCATACAGTTTTGATAAAGATAATCTGTTTCAAAAAGAATGTTCCACAGTTCAACTGTTAAAATATTCATGTCTCTCAAGAACATGTTAAATGACATTTTCCACTTAAAACATATTACAACATGAACACCAATAATTTTCTAGGTACCAATAAAAAACAAATAATATGTCACACAGTTCTCAAGGCTATAAGCCCCGTTGGATCCAATACTAAACTAAGAGTCATCCTCAGGGTGGCAACCTGGGTCTTTTCTTTAAGACGATCAGATTGAAGGTCACCTAGCTTAACCTAGGTCTTTTCCTTACAACTGTTGAGCACTAGAGTCATCACGGCCGAACCCGGATCTGTTCCCTAGTGGCCAGAGTCACCACACATAGTGGAATAATTTCCCTCGACTAAAACACACAGAGGGTCCTAATAATCAATGCACATCAGTTTCGCAAAATATGGTAGTTCACCATTATAAACGTATTAGACCAAAACAAATAGTTTACAGTATGCCAAGTTCACACATGTTTCAGAAATAATTTAATTCCATTGATAATATAATAATTTATCAAAACAGTTTAGTCCTGAAACAACAATTAAATTTTTCAACAGTTCAGGGTAGGGAAACATTTATAAAAATGTGTAGCATGAAACTACTCACCTGAAAACGAAATAATATAATCCTCGAATAGAGTATGAAAGTCCAATTAGTGCCCTAAACCAAGTATGAAAACTACACGTCACTACAAATTTAAAAATACTAAAGAATAAGAACTAAGTAACCCCAAACTAAAGCGCACTAACACGGCTCAACCCAACTCACCGTTACTCTTAAATATTACCTACATTCATGTTCTTCAAGGTCTAAAATCACCCAGGACATGGGTTTCGGTCGAAACTTAATTAAATGTGACTTTCAGATAAAATAGAATTTTTGATAGGTTTTCCCGAACTGTTCACTAACTCTGAAAATTAAAAACCCACTTTACACCATTCGAAAAATTTCAAAACCCTCCAGATATCAACTAATATATCCTAAGTTTCAAACCCAATTGGTTTTACTTGATTTGCTTATCAAAATAATTATTTACAATTAATTACGCCCAAACAGGTTGTTTTCTGCAGCACTTTAAATAAATTAATGGTTCTCTTAGTATACAGGAGCAATCAAGGCAAGGCCAAAAATATAAGAAACTAGACTCGTAACCGGTTCTAATGACACTGATTTGATAATTTTTTGATTTATACCCAAAGAGAACAACACTCCCGAATTTACTGTTTAAACCAGTTTTCTGGACATATTTGAACACATCTGTTTATATGGATTTTGACTCCCAAAAATTATGAAAAAAATCAGATATTCAACTCAATATGTAATTGATCTACTGCAAAAATTTCAGCTCAAAATTCATTCATTTGATATGGTTTCGTGATTTCTAAAGTTTGCTGGCAGATTAATATTCTTAGGAGCAACATTATGAAATCAATTAAAATTTCTAGAATACTATCCCAATCAGCCAATCCATTCCTTTTTCTTCCACCAACTCGCAACACCCACAAGCACCATAATTATGTAAACAATATATTATAATAGAACAAGAATAGATTGATTAATACCTTAGAGAGTTGTTGAGACACAAGGGTGCTTTCTCTCCCTCTCTTTTCTATCTCTTGCTCTCTCTTCCTCTCTCATGTTTCTACTGCTGCTGCTGCTGCTATAGTGTTTATTAGGAACCCTAGGGTTGTCATATATATATATATATATATAAACAAAACTCTAAATAATTATCCTTTGTTTTGTATTATTTTTTTTCCTCTCACCATTAATTTAAATAAAATATAACTATTATTATATCAAAATATACTTACTAACTTGTCTCCTATTTTTTTTTTAATAAAAAATCTTACCTCTAAATTAAAGACTTTTACCATAAATTTATTTTAGGTTTTAAAATTAATTAAAAGATCCTCCAATAAAATTTAATTTGCACCTTATGATTCACCATCAAGATATTTGAGATTGTAAAATAATTATTATTTAATTATTTACTAAATCTTTATATTCGGGTTCTCACAATTACAATGCTCAGATTTCTGACTTTGGGTCGGCTAAACTTCTGAAGTTGAATCAGAGTAAGACTAATCCTGCTACCATTAGAGGGACAAGAGGGTATGTTGTTGCAGAGTGGTTCAACAGTGACCCAATCACTGCAAAGGTTGATGTCTATAGCTATGGTGTGTTGCTACTGGAGATCATTTCTTATCGAAAAAGCATCAGCGATTTGGAGGTTGGTGAAGAAGAGAAAGTAATCCTGACTTATTGGGCTTGTGACTGCTTTCATGAAGGAAGATTGGATACTTTGGTTGAAAACGATATGGAAGCGTTAAATGACTGGAAGAGGCAGAGAGATTTCTAATTGTTGCCATTTGGTGTATTCAAGAAGATCCATCTCTGAGGCCTACAATGAGGAAGGTCACCCTGATGCTTGAAGGAGTTGTTGAAGTTGATGTGCCTCCATGTCCATCTCAGGTTTCTTTTACTAGTTAGGCTTGCATTTGTTGCTCTGCTATAGTGGTCCTGTTATGTATGTTGTTCACTTAAAAATAATGTATGGTCATTCAATTTGTGTGTTGTCTATAGCAAGAGAGCTCTTTAATTGAACAGATATAGTGTATGGTTAGCTAAGTTTTTGAGTACAGGTAAGTTCATCGTGTATTGGCAGGTTCCATCTTGTGTTGTTCCTGTTATATGGCATCGACTCCCATTTATATTATTAGAAAGTACTCACTGAAACTCTCTATATTTCAAAGGAAAGACTAAAAACAGCTTTTGGGATAGTGAGACAGGATGGTTTGATGACATTTTGTTAATACTCACAGAGAATGAAAACTTCAACAATTTGGTTTTGCTAAAGAGATAGTATAACTGTGGTATCACTGCAGGAAATCATGCTCTTAGTGTTTCATAAGTGCCACCTTAGGTCTGAAAAAACGCTACCATAAGAAAAGGGGACATTTCTAAATTGCATCACATTAGGCTTGCGACATTTAAAAAATGTCAATAATGTCTTACAACAACAATTATGAAAAAAAGTTTCTATATCCTAACGTGTATCACCTTCTTTCCGTCTCTGTTAACTAATGATGTCATATCCAACATTTAGTGGCGCTTTCAAGAAATGCCACATTTTTTAAATTTTTTTTCTTTTTGGAACTTCCAAACCCTTATCATACCAATTTTAGCCTTTTGGTTTTAAAAAAAAAAAAAAAAAAAACCTGTTTTCAAGTTTGTGCCTAATTTCGGGGACGAAATTCTTTGAAGGGGGGGAGGTTATAGCGACCCCGGTCTTTTCCCATTTAATTATTGTATCCGGACTGTTCCGTAGATTCTGTCATTGTATAATGGTTGTTGTTGTTATTCCTTATTTTCTCATTTGGAATTATAGGAAGTGTTGGGCAGGTTTGTTTCAGGTTGGTTGGGTTTAGAAACCAAGTGTTGCTATCCAGGTTTTTGGTTCTTCGCTCGAGCGAGAAGTTGTTCGCTCGAGCGAATGGTTGCGTTTGATTTGGACCTGTAGCTGTTCATTCTTGGCTCGAGCGAGATTTTCTTCGCTCGAGCGAGTTAGTTCGTCCTTCGCTCGAGCAATAGTTCCTTCGCTCGAGCGTGTGTCTTGTTGCAGACCTGAGGGTTTGAGTTCTTCGCTCGATCGAGCTTTCTTTCGCTCGAGCGAGCTTTTGAGTTGTTGGCTCGAGCAAGGCTTCCTTGGCTCGAGCGTAGTTTCTGTACTACTCTCGCCCAAGCACGCCTGACTGCGGAGTTCTGATGGGATCCGGCCCATTAGTCCTGGTATGATGTCACTAGAAGATTAACCACGACCTTATCGTTATAAGTAGTAGACGGACAAACAATGAAATTAAATGGAATAGGACAATTTGAAAATCGTTTAAAATAGAGAAATTGCCGAAAAGGAGGCGAAGGCGATTGAATGGGCTAAAAATTGGACAGGTTGTCTGGGAAAGGGTGGAAAAAAAAAAAAAAAAAAAAAAAAACAACAACAACAACTAGCTAAAATATTGAGGGATTAAAACTAGCACACAAGCACAAGGACGGGAGGCTAACCCCTCCACTTTTGGGACTTCAAAACATGATTTTTGTCTCTAAAAAATCTCTAAAAATCAGTGGTAAAAAGGTCAAAAAAAGTGATGAGAAGGTGGGAAACACAAGGGCAAATACCTTAGAAGTAAGGTTCAAATGAGGGTTATCAACCCCTCTACCTTTAATGGCCTTAAACCACAAGTTTCAGTCCAAAAATATAGGTAATAAACAGCTCAAAAACAGCAAGAAAAGGTAGAAAACAAGTAGTGTAAAAATGGTACAAAAGCACTAGAATGTATACCTCTTAAAGATGAATGATCCCTTGAGCTACAAACAACCAATTTCACACTCTCAAGTGCCTCAAGAGCTAATATTCAAGCCCAAATCACCTCAGTAAGGAACTCTCTAGGTTTGGTTTAGAATGTTTGAGCAAAGGCTATGTAAGTTACAAGAGAGAGAGAGAGAGAGAGAGAGAGAGAGAGAGAATTGTAGAGAGAGAGAATTTTGCTCTTCCAAAAGTATTTTCTCACTCCTCAATTTTTCCAACCTTGAAACCAAAAGGGGAGGTCATCTATATATGGAAAACCATGTGTCTATCTCGAAAATATCTATATACATACAGCTGGAATGGTGCATGCACATGGAGGGATAGCTTGCAGAAAATATCTAGTTTTTTGCACTAGTGGACAGCAAGTCCCAGGAGGCACAGGCCTGAAAAACCACTATTTTAGTCCAAAACAAGGCACAAGGTTTGTAGGTTAAACACTAAGGTTTTCTGCTGAGGAAGTCAAGCATTTGGGAAGCACACATTCATCATTGAGTGATCAATCAATGGCGCTCAAGTCTTAAGGGCCGTAAAAAATGGGGTGTCTACACCATGACTCAACACCATTAACTTTTCAACTGATGTAACTGTAGCTCGACTTTTTTGCGCCCCCCTTTCGGAAGGTTCAAAAAAAGTCTACAGTTCAGACTCTCGCGATTCTGAATGTAATCTCACTAGTGCAGTGTGAAATTGATAAACACTAAAGAGTCCAAATCCGACAAATCTTTTGAAAATTTGATTTTAGGATCAAAAATGCCAAAATTGGACTGCTTCGCCAGATACAGAGTCGCCACCTAAATATTTTATTTTGAAAAAGTTTAGGAACCCATGACTCGTGCCAAAGGCCATGTGTCCGTCATCACCAAAGTTGCCTCAGCTTGGGAACTTAGGTACGAAAAAGGAAGGTCATGAATTGAGTACCCCTCCTTGCCGGATCAAAGATCGGCCTCTACTAATCATGATATGATTCTTATCAACATTATGTGCTCTTGTTCCCGTTATTAGGCTAGCATTACTACGTGATGCGCACAAGAAAGTATGGACTAGTTTGCCCAAATTGGAATAATTCAATTCATGTTTGTTTTCCGAAAAGGGTTTGAATTTTGCCACCTCAAGTGGGCTTAAATTTTGCGAATTTGCCACTAGACATAATGGGCTTAAAATGTACATTTATTGAATCATTCTAATTCAAACAACAAGCCTTCATCCACAGGCATTCAAGCAGTTTAACAAGTAAACATTTAGCCTCATGGCAAGCATGCTAGACATGGAAACCACTCACACTCATGCAAGTATGCTAAATCATTAAAAACTTTGCTAGTACTCCAAGCTAAAAGAGAAACTAGTTAGAAAAATACATGATTCCTAACTATGCGATATGACTAATGCAACACATGCGATATGTAATTACTAGGCTCGACTACTAATATGGCATATGAATCAATTTAAATAGCATGTGGTCTAAGCACGTATTCAAATAAGTATTTAAACGACAATGCATCTAGAATGATGCGCCGAGCCCCGGTGCACGCAATACAAGATGAATAGATGCAAGCATAAGGTATGCTAATTGAAACATGTCCTTAATCTGACCATCAAAAGTGTATAAATAAAAGGAAGCAAGACGTGAGGTTGAAAGACATACACATTATTACAACACGCTCTCACGTAGAAGAGTCCGAACGAATAAACTAGCTAAGCTAAACTACTTAAGCTAATTATTACAAAACTTGAATGAATAATTAACTAACTATCTAAGCTAATTAAACATTTCAATTCAAACTAATTAACTATAACTAATTAAGCTAATTAAAATATTGCAACATAAACTAATTAGCTACAACTAATTAATTACAACAAATAAATGATTAATTGCTAATTAAACTAATTAACTAGCTAACTAGTCCCAGGAAGCAATAGAGGCCCATGCATGCTTGGTTTTCACCTGAAGAACATCCGTTGTTTGCTCCTGAAAGCCTCTGCTCCATAACCCTTGCACTGATTTCCTCTTCTAGATCAACTCTGCTATGCTTCACAAACATTCTGCTCAAAATTCATTGGTGGCCAACAAGCCAGAAGTGGTGGCCGGCTGGCCACTATTGGGGGGTTGTCGTCCAACACTGGTGGCTTGCAGGCCAGTAACAGTGGTCGGCCGGCCACTAATGACACATCATTTCTCTTGCTGCAACAGAGAGCAAACAGGGCAAAAAGAGGGTATTCTCACAGGTTGTTTATACTGTGTATCCGTCCTTACATCAAAACATCTCAAAGAAGTGATACACTTGGTCCTCAAACCATCAATCAAGAAATTTCATTGCATGATAGCTAAGGAACCAATATGTACAAGTTAATAAATGCACAAACAAGACCCCAAAAAGTCCATCACCCTATCATGCATGATCAAGGGCAATGAAGACCTAGGAAAGTTGACACATTTCATCACTTTGAGTATGAAATGTCTCACTTTTCCTTGTGTTCAAATTAACGTCAGATTTTAAGCACAACAAGACACAACCAATTTCTTATCTTGCACCATTTTAGTTGAAACTTTTAGTTACTCAATTTAATTTACCAACCCATTCTTTAACCAATTAAGTCTATTGGTGAGAAGTCTTCTAAAGGGAAGGAAGTGTCAAACAAGGGGTAGTTTAAGGCAAAAGAAAGGTGTCCTACCGTTGGTAATGAACCCCCAAAAGAGGATTAAACCATTAAGCAATGAATCTTAATTCAAGCTTAAACTATCCTAAGGTTGAAATAACTCTCAAAGCAAATAAAAAGTGAAGAAATGAGGAAGATTGCAGAGATTATAAGTGCTGATATGGAGTAAGAAAAGCTCTAAAACATGGCAATCAACTCAAACAAGGGGTGTCTAAAGGCTTAAAACACCAAACTTGTGAGGACTATTATACTAAAGGCATGCAATACAAGACTCAAATGCAATAAACAGCCAAAAACAGAGTTAAAACAGTCTAAAATATAGCTTAAAACATGCTGGA